AATGTAAAAATTAAAGATGTTAAAAAAAAATGTAAAGTGTGTATTTCCCCCTAGAAAACCTACTTTTAGGAATTCATCTTATGATTATTTTATTGAGATGGCATTTTGCTCTTGTTGCCCAGACTGGAATGCAATCTCTGCCTCCCAGGTTCAAGTGATTCTCCTGACTCAGCCTCCTGAGTAGCTGGGATTACAGGTGCACGCCACCATGCTCAGCTAATTTTTTATTTTTAGTAGAGACGGGGTTTCACCATGTTGGCCAGGCTGGTCTTGAACTCCTGACCTCAGGTGATCCATCCACCTTGGCCTCCCAAAGTGTTGAAATTACAGGTGTCAGCCACAGCACCCGCCCTCCATACCGTTTCTAATAATGGGTTTTGTTTTAAATTTTATAATATATAATAATAACTATAATTATATGTAATATACAAGAAATATGATCATGAAGAAATGTATGCAAAGATATTCACTGGAACATTGTCTATAATAGCAAACGACAGAAAAGAAGCTAAATGTTGTTACCTGACTGGGCCTACTGTTAAGTAAGGGATGACGTATTCTTCCAAAGGAATTATTTTGCATTATTTCAGGTCATTTAAAATGATAGATGTGGCTGGGCGTGGTGGTTCACACCTGTAATCCCAGCACTTTGGGAGGCTGAGGTGGGCGGATCATGAGGTCAGGAGATCAAAACCATCCTGGCTAACACAGTGAAACCCAGTCTCTACTAAAAATACAAAAAATTAGCCAGGTGTGGTGGTGGGTACCTGCAGTCCCAGCTACTTGGAAGGCTGAGGCAGGAGAATCCCTTAAACCAGGGAAGCAGAGGCTGCAGTGAGCCGAAATCGCGCCACTGTACTCCAGCCTGGGTGACAGAGCAAGACTCTGTCTGAAAATATATAAATAAAAAAATAAATAAAATGACGGATGGAAATCTTTACAATTAACATTAAAAAATCACTTCCTGGCTTGGCATGGTGGTTCATGCCTGTAATCCCAGGACTTTGGGAAGCTGAGGTGGGCAAATCACCTGAAGTTAGAAGTTCAAGACCAGCCTGGCCAATGTGTTGAAACCCCGTCTCTACTAAAAATGCAAAAATTAGCTAGGCATGGTGGTGGGTGCCTATAATCCCAGCCACTCAAAAGGCTGAGGCAGGAGAATCGCTCGAACCGGAGGTGGAGGTTGCAATGAGCTAAGATCGTGCCACTGCACTCTAGCCTGGATGACAGAGCAAGACTCAGTCTTAAAAAAATAAAAATAAAAATCAGTTTCTTGCCAGGTACAGTGGCATTGGCTACTTGGGAGGTTCCAGCTACTTGGGAGGTTAAGGCCAAAGGAACACTTGAGCCCAGGTTTGAGGCCAGCCTAGGCAGCATGGCAAGACACTGTCTCTATTAAAAAAAAAAAAAAAAATCAGTTACACAACATAGTTTTGAATGAAAATGGCAAATTAATTAGCAGTTGCACGGCATATTATCCCTTTTACAGTAAAGATCTATGAACATCTGTATGTACATATATGCAAAGATAGATGTCTGAAAGGGTATTTACCAAAATGTGTTGTAATAGTAGTTCTTCCTAGGACATGAGATGTCAGGTGATTTTAAAAATGTTTTATAAGCAAGCATAGTGCATTTTTCATGAGCATATAGTATTAGGTATCCATAGTATCAAACTCCCTACTTGATGGCAGGGACTGTGTCTATTTCATTCTTTTTATACCTGGAACCACGCACAGTCTGGTTCAGAATTGGTACTCCAACAATAACTGCTGTATGAATTATCCTTTATTTTTTCTGAGAAGCAAAAAATAAAAAAAATTACATAACTATCAAGTATTTCTCTACAGATGACTTGTGGTTTTTGAAGGAAAACAGTCTTTCTTTATTTTTGTGAGTCAGAGTCTTGCTCTGTTGCCCAGACTGGAGTGCAGTGGCGTGATCTTGGCTCACCGCAACCTCCGCCCCCTAGGTTCAAGTAATTTTCCTGCTTCAGCCTTCTGGGTAGCTGGATTACAGGTGCCCAGCTCATTTTTGTATTATTTCAGGTTATCTACCCATCTTGGCCTCCCAAAGTGCTGCAATTATGGGCATGAACCACCATACCAGGTCTAAAACACTCTTTATTATCACATTTTGTGTAATGAGTGTATTTCAAAAACAAAATACAAAACACCAAGAGGCCTTCTGCACAAGTAAAAATATAAAAGGATAAAAAGTTTATACTGTAGTATATACTGTATTTCAGTCTATTTTATCCACATTTATAAAGACACTCATATACATGCTGCTTTGCAAAAATTGGGTCAAATCTTGCATACCATATTGTAATGTAATATGCTTTTCTCTTCTCAACAATTTATGGCAAACACTTCTTTGTGAGAATATACTTTTTTTTTTTTTTTAACATAATTTGCAGTACGTTATAAATATCTCATGGTTTACTTAATAATTCTTTATTGCTAGCATT